ACCAGATTGATTGACAATGGTCTACAGCCAGGAGGTTTCTGACTGGCGAGTAGTAGTGATGTGTTGGTCGCGAACGAAAAGGCTCCTAGAGCCGCCTCTTTGAAGTAAACGACGCAAGCCGGCTCCTTATTGGGAGCCGTGGTTTTGTTTTGTTTTCCTCTCACCCTCTCTCTTGCACTTTTTTCCCACTTCACTCTGCATGCAAGCCTTGTGCTTTGCGCTGGGAAGAGGGGCGGTAGTTACACTTTGTTTTCATATTTTAATTTATATTTAATTGTGTTGTGGTTTGCAGTGTTTTGTGTTGTTTCACTTTAAATTTGTTTAAAAGGAAAAGGCTGAAAATTTAAATAGCTAAAAGTTGAAATGTAAATAGTTGGTTTTTGTATTATATGATTTATTTATTACATTTTATGTGGCGTGAATAAATAAAAGTATATTTATGGTGGCCTCTAGAGACAAAGCCCTTACAAACTTCGAAGCGCGTACAAACGCCGAAGCGCATACAAACTCCGAAGCGCATACAAACTCCGAAGCACTTACAAAACACAACAGAAGTGCTCCAGGATGCTGGGCGCAGTGTTGAGCTTTTGTCACCTCGTGGCTACACAAGCCAGCAAGCACCAACGACCGGATTTGGTGTGTGGTACTAACAGGTAAATTATTATTTTTTTAATTATTTGAATATATATATGAGTGCTTGTGTATAAATACACAAACAATACACATATGCTTTCAATTGTGCAATTTAAGTGATCTAGGTAGCGAGTAGTGACTGTTGCCGAATGTAGCTGGGTTTCATTGTATAACTTGAATAACTACGAAATAATTGTTCATCAAGTACTGACAGAAATATTCAGACGTTTTACTTTTTTAAAGTGATTTATTGTAATAACAACACAAAAATATCGGCAATCAAAACAGTCAAAGAACTCGCGCTGCAGAATCATATATACATTAATTTATCAGACCGTAATTGATTAATTAACATGGATTTTGCTTTAATGATGCAGTTAGAGATTGTTTTACTTTAATTCTACACTGATAGCGGAGTTTGATTTAACACAGTGATACAGCCAAAAATACCATGAGCTTTAAAATAAATGGTATGCTGTATAAAACAAAATATTTGTACTTAGTGGCCTGAGGTTGCAATCAAATTTCAGTGGGTTGGTGCCACCTCATGCCCACAGCATGGGCACACCCTTGGCCACATTATAACCCAGCATAAGGAAATCATTTTAGTTCTTAAGTAAAAGCGCTTCCTCCACCACATTCTGCTTTAATAATATTGGGGGTGAAAGGAATAGGACAGAGGAAGGAAAAGAAAAATGATAAAGGAAGGGAATGGGAAGAGAGATTGGAAAATTAATGGAAAGGTGCATGTAGAGTAGGAGGAACATAGCAGGAAGGAACGGGGGGAAAATGAGAAGAATTCCCTTTGGAATAACTGCGGGCGAAGATGGAGAGACAGATGAGGAGGTATGCTCTTAAAAAAATGAGATCATTTACCATCCACTGTCACTTCTCATCAAGCTTTCATCTATCAGACGTGCTTCCACATGTAAACTTTATCACATGATCGTACATCAAACCCAGACCGGCCGGGCTGAAGACAACCCGCCATCATTAAAACAAAAAATCCTGCGATAACACACGATGATTAAAGCTGAGGTTAGCCTGTTACCTTCAGTATATACAAAAATAAAGCAAAATGACTGACAAGGGAGTGTAATTATAGACTTCTATTAATTTATTTGAAGTGTTTTCTTTGCCTACTATTATTTATATGTCGACTATAAGCTATTTTTGAAAATTACGACAGTATTTCCCCGGAGAAATTATAAAAAGGGAGAGAGATGGTAGTTCGATAATCTAGTACAGAAATATGTAAAGAAAATCTGAAATAAATATATCTAAACGGCAGCTACTCCACCGGCCGCTGAAGAGCTAACGAACAGCCAAGATGGGAAAAGACTCGTTGACTCGTTTTTATAGTAAAGATCTGCGCAAGTCAGTGTTTCTACTGAGACAAGGTCTCCGTTTTACAGATGTTTTTATTACTTTTTAATTACTATTTGGTAAAACAGATTGGGCAGTCTTGTAAGAAAAGCCAGTAATATCTCAGAGAGGAGACAGCCTGTGCTTTGGGTCATTTATAACAGGCATGTCCTTAGGAAGGCTAATGACATACTGGACTGTCTGAATCATCCACTCCACGGGGAGTTTGAGCTATTGCCCGCAGGCCATCATGTAAAACACCACATGTCTCTTTTTTATTCTGAGGATTACTGATACACTTAACGGCAAGTTACACTCTGACCATATTTCTGCTGCTACTGTGGCGTGTGTGCACTTTCTTCGTGTTTATGCTAAATTTTAACAGTTTACATGAAACCCCTGGTGTTATATTACAAATAACCTTGAACATTAAAATGGAATTTATTCAGTGCTCTGGTGACATGAGCAGAGAAAGCGATCATGTTGCCTGTGTGGAGGCTGAGTGTGTGTTACAAGGCTGGATGTGGAGCTTCATAAATCTTATTTTGGAGCGAATTCACCAAACCTTCTAACTGCCTTGTAATGGCTTTAACAGTTGACACTATATATCATATGAATGTTCCTTTGTTGATCAAAAGGAAAGTTTCATGTATGTAAGGGCCTGAAAATAACTGCCCTTGCTTCTAGGAGGACTTTTGTTTCC